CCCCAAAACCCCAAAACCCCAAAACCCCATGAAATTAAATAAAAATTTTTCTGCAAAATTAAAGAAATAAAATCTTTTACAATAAATCATAATAGTTAATAATTAAGATGAAATTCACTTTATATATCCTTGTATTGTTTTACTTACTACCTTAATTCAAAGCTTAATGTGACAGCAATCCTACTTATTGCTAAAATTAAGGTATCTGTGGAGTAAATGGAAACTGTATATGCTAAAGCTTTTATTATGGAGATAGATGCGAAAGTAAAGTATCTAAATCTGATTAAGCAGTTTTAAGATAAGATGGTATAAAATCAGGAATGCTAGTATTATACTGCTTCCTCATGATGGTATTGCTGCCATTCTGTTTGTATCTTTTAATTGTTTTGTGCATAAGAGTCTGTTCTGATGAAAAGCATAAACTTACTTTAAGAGAGACCTTGGCTGATGCTTTTTGTTGTAAAAGAGAAACGATATGTTGCTGTAAATGTGAAGAAGAAGAAATATAGGAGAAAAAGGAAAATAAGGAAAAAGAGGAAGAATGGCCAGAATATATAGCAAAAAACTTTGATCAGCAAGGAAAGGATATTGAAAAGCTTCCAGAAAACAATTAAACTATAAAAGATCATGAAAGTAAAGCAGGTGATGAAAAACTAAAAGAAGATGGTCCAAAGGATCAATCAAACTAATAATTAAATTAAATAAAATTGCCAGAAATTGATAAAAAGAAAGGAATTCTAAAGACTCCATCATTTGATTCTCTTGAGGAAATAGATCAACCTTAGCATGATGATTCAGTGAAAAGGGAGGAATAAAAAGGATTATAATCTAAAGAAGATAAAAAGTAAACTGAGATTAAAAGTGAGGGAGAAAATGTCAAATCAGCCTCAAAGACATCTTCAAAGGAGAATGGATTTCATAATATGAACAAAAAGCTACATGATAGTTCACCAGATGTAAGTTGAGTTTTTATCCGAAATTCGTTATATAATTTTATCTAACTTACTATTTAGGTAGAGGAAGATATGGATGATGGAGAGGATTTTGATTAAATTGCTAAGGTAATTGATAACAGTACATCATTAAGAAAAAAACCATGATTTTAAAGCTTGAAGGTTTTACAAAAAAACATCCCTTATTTATTTCATTATTTAAAACTTGATAGATTCAATAATATTTCAAGATAAACATGTTATTTAATACTCACGGGGTTTTGGGGTTTTGGGGAGATCGGAAGAGCACACGTCTGAAC